AACTAAATAGATTCAGAGACACTGAAGCATGCAACAGATGATCATATTTCAGAGGAAAGAGGGAAGGGGAGTGGAGGGTGGGAAGAGATTAACCAAAGTTATATGCATAACCCATGGACACAGTCAGTAACGGGGTGAAGGCCTGGGGAGGGGGTGGAAGCGAGGGGGAGGGGGTCAATGAGGGGAAAAATGGGACACCTGTAATACTTTTAACAGTAAAGGTAAATTTAAAAAAAAAAGTGGAGAGGATAATATGACGATCTTTCAAATGCCAGTCACTAAGATTAACAAATTAGTGACACGTTACTTTGCTGTATTTGTTATTTCAGTATGCTTTTTTTTTTTTCAGTTCTCACCTGAGGATATTTTTCCCGTAGCTTTTCAGAGAGAGTGGAATGAGTGAGAGGGAAACATTGATTGGTTGCCTTCCACACACACCCCGACAGGCCAGGGATTGAGCCTGCAACCGAGGTGTGTGCCTTTGGTTGGAATCGAACCCTGGACCCTTCAGTTTGAGGGCTGACGCTCTAACCACTGAGCCAAACCAGTTAAGACAGTGTGCATGTTTAAAATACATTTTCTGCCCTGGCTCGATGGCTAAATTGGTTGGAGTTTCATCCTGTGCACCAGAAGGTCATGGGTTTGAATCCCAGTCGGCACACATCTAGGTTGTGGGTTCCATCCCTGGCCCTGGCGCACGGGGAGGCAGCTGTTCGATAGATCCCTCTCACATAGATGTTTCTCTCTTTCTCTCTTTCTTTTCCTCCTTCTCTAAAATCAGTTTACAAAATCCATTTTCTTACATTATCCCAATATTATCACATCTAATAAAATTACCAACAATTTTATTTATTTGTTTGTTTATTTATTTATTTATTTATTTATTGTCCTCGCCCGAGGATACTTTTTCCATTGCTGTTTCAGAGAGTAGAAGGGGCGGTGGAGAGAGAGAGAAAGAAACATCAATATGAGAGAGAGACTTTGCCTGGTTGCCTCCCGCACACACTCTTACTGGTGCCAGGAATGGAGCCTGCAGCCGAGGTACGTGCCCTTGGTCAGATTCGAACCCTGGACCCTTGTCCTCAGGCCGATGCTCTAAGCACTGAGCCAAAACCAGCTAGGGCCCAACAGTCTATCATCTAATGCCAGTTTATAATCACATTTTCTTAATTATACCTAATATGTCATTACAGTTGGGTTTTTTTGGCACCAAAATCTAGAAATGGCTCACACTGCATTTGATTGTTATGTCTGCAGTTCTTAAAGTAGAGCAAATCCCCGTCTTTATTTTTTTATTCCCTCTCCCTTTTTAAACGTTGTTGACTTTTGAAGAAAAGTGTCTCATATACTATATTTATCTTATTGCTTCCTCACGGTTCATTTAACTTTTTCCTTTGTATCCTGTTTTACTCCCTGGAAACTGGAAGTTAGAGCTAAAGTCTTGAATTGGTTCAAATTAACATTTTGATGTGGATACTCTATAGATGATTCTGTAAACTATATCACATCACCTTACGGTGCACATCCTGATGGGTGGCTTCTTTTTTGTTTTAACTTTAATTTTGGAGTACTCAAAAGTACCAAATTTTGAATCACCGTGTTGTTGCTTTCTGGCCTTTTTACTTCTTTGAAATTTAAAAAAACAAAAAGCCATTGAATTTCAGAATTACTTATAGAATTGGTTCAAAGATCGTTATTCAATTTTTTTAAGTGAAAAAGAATATGTAAAGCCACCTCCCCCTTTTCTTTCAGCACTCTTTATACTGTAATGCATCTTGGAACACATCAAAGTTATTTTATGTGGGGATATTAAGGCAGTGTAGAAATCTCTTCAATAAATTAAGAAGTGGTACCCACCTAATCTTTATAGGTCTTTAAATAGAAATGATTTTTACAATTCAAGCTTAATAACCTGATTTGGAAAAGTAGTGTTGAGAAAAAGAAAACTGGATCCAGAAGCTTGGATTTAATAGACAATCTCTCTGCCAAGCAGATCAGAACTAACATTTAGTTCATGAATTCTCATTAAACTCTTAGTGAAGTTCTGGAGGAAGTGAGCTCTTCCTATACTGGCTTTTAATATCTTATATGGATATAATTAATTTTCACATAATTGAGTTTTAAGGTTTCAGTAGATTGTTAACCATCTGTGAAAAACAAAACTCTTCTTACCACATTAATTCTTTGCATACACACCATTAACCGCAGCATAGTTGTTCTCATGAAGCAAAACAAGGTAGAAAATATTGTTAAAATGTATATGAAGAAAACTGTTTTCTTGGGAAGGATTAAATCAGTGATCTGTTCTTTTGAGAGTACTTTTACATGGGCTAATATCTATTCTTACTCCCCCCCCACTACCACCTGTTATCTTTGGACACTTGTTTCATAAGCTGTTGGAAATATTATATATGCATGTTTTATTTCAAATGAATTCATTGTAAAGTTACTTTGCACCATTTGTGCCTGTTCTCTTTTGCTTTGACATAGATATATAGAGATATTTCCAAGCAGAAGGAACGAAGTTCGAACACACGTTGGTTCTTATAAGGGAAAGAAAATGGCATCTCCTACTGCTAAGTATATAACTGATCCAGAAGTGGTCTTTGAAGAACACGAAGTAAATGAGGATATTCGACCCGTGACAGCTTTTGAAAGTGAGAAGGAAATAGGTAAGGACCTGCCTCTTGTTGAGACTCATTGGGTCTAGTATGTTTTGATATTTGTTAAAATACGTATCTTACCATGTTTGTATGAAATGGTAAGACTGTCAGACAAGGGAATTGAGTTAAAGATTTAATATGTCTTTGAATGTAGTATGTTCTTTGAATATATGCAGAATTGCTTAATGACTTCATAAGGTTTTAAAATTTAATTTTGTAGATTCTATATCAGAAAGCTGGGTGGCACAAATATAACAAGGACGTAAGATGTCAACATTTAAACTAAGGTGGGAAAAGATGTGGAGAGAAAGCAGGAATGTTGACTGAAGTAAAAAGTCTTGTTTGCCTTTGTATTTAGTCATTCGTTTGATTCCTAACTCAAAGCAACATTTGGAATCTGAAGTTTGATAAATCCTTTTTAAACTGGTGCCCTGGGATTATCCTTTTACCATACTTAGTATATCTTTATTGATTTCAAAGAGAGGAAGGGAGAGGGGGAGAGAGAGAAGCATCATTGATCAGAGAGTTGTCGTTGATCGGCTGGGGGTTGAACCCGCAACCCGGGCACGTGCCCTGAGCGGGAATTGAGCCTTGATCTCCTGGATCCTAGGTCAGTGCTCAACCTCTGATCCATACTGGGCCATACTTATTTTATTTTATGCTTAATACCCAGAAAGTTATTCTTNCGCCCGGCTGGGCCATACTTATTTTATTTTATGCTTAATACCCAGAAAGTTATTCTTTTATTTATTTTTTCATTAATAATCACTTTTCCTCCTCTCTGTTGTTATAGAAAGATGTTCTTTTGGAATCTAGCAATGGGTTGAGGCCCTTAATTCTTATGGGTCTTTAAGTGTTATTTGTAAGATGGCAGAAATTTCAGATCATTTTGGCTTTTAAAATTAAGGCCCTTCTTCCTTGCTCGTTCAAGAGGAATTGAGGATTTTGTAATCTGTTAATAACTCTTGAAGCTTTTATGCTCTTGACAGTGCTTTTTGTTCCACTTCTCAGAATTGCCTAAGGAGGTGTCAGAAAAGCTTCCAGAGCCTGTTGATTTTGGAACTACGTCTTCACATTTTGTTCACATGAGAGGATTGCCTTTCCAAGCCAATGCCCAAGACATTATAAACGTATGTGGCAGTAAGATCCCTAATCTTAGTAGGTTTGAATAAAAGTTCTAAAATCGAATTTCTATTAATTTTGGGAAAGTAGAGAAGAAAGTATTCTGGAATATCTTTGGACAGTAAGATATTTACATCTTCATGGTTGTGGATGCTTGTTTTATTTTCTTAGCCTGAGAAGTATGGGTTTATTACATTTTAAGGTGAAATGTATAGTGGATAAGAGGAATTTACAGATAAAAAAAATAGTATGATGNTAGGGGAAATGTATACTGGATAAGAGGAATTTACAGATAAAAAAAATAGTATGATGAAGATATGGTNAAGGTGAAATGTATAGTGGATAAGAGGAATTTACAGATAAAAAAAATAGTATGATGAAGATATGGTATTCAAAGAAAGTTTGGTTTTTCTCTAAATTGGTTCAACCTGTTTAGTTTTGAGGTTAGGAAGCTGAGACCCAGAGGAATTTGCCACAGAACAGTTGTGTACTAGACAATAATTCAGAGCTCCTGAATGCTTGGAGCTTTCATTAGACCATGTAGCTGTCTTGCATTACAATTCCATAACTTTTTGAGAAAAATACTTTAAAAAATATTTTTATTTCATAATAGATACTGTATGAAATGAAAAACTAAAACAACAAAGCTCTTATTGACTTCATGAACTGGACATAAACATAAGGCAGATCCAAACCTAGAGTTTTCAGTTGATAGTAGGCCCTCAGAGTTGTCTTTATTATTTCAAGAAGCCTATTAGGTATCAAATCTTTACCTAAACGAAGCTTGCACAGTCTCATTAAGGCATTACATTTTGTTGCTTTGGTTTGGAATGATAACCACTCAGTGTGGTAGCTCTTTTGATGTAGTGTTGATAAGAATCTGGTTATCAGGTACATGTCTGATGAAATAAATGGTAAAAGTGAATTATTAAGAAGTAAAGTATACCCTGCTGGCGTGGCTCAGTGGTTGAGCATCGACCTATGATCCAGGAGATCATGGTTCGATGCCCAGTCAGGGCACATGCCCGGGTTGCGGGTTTGATCTCCAGTGGGGGGCATACAGGAGGCAGCCGATCAATGACTCTCATCATTGATATTTCTCTCTCTCTCCCTCTCCCTCCTCTCTCTGAAATCAATAAAGATATATTTAAAACATAAAATATATGTGATGGACAAGCAGTCTTTAGAAACAGGGAAGGATGCATATAGGAGAATTAATAAAAGTTATCTTTGTTGGTATAAAAAAACTTTGAGAACCTGTATAATAGTATTGTATTTATAGGTTAAGTTCTCTGTGACCAGATATTTGAAATGAACCTTGAGTTCTAAGATCAGAAAAGCCAAAATAGATGTAGAAGTGGTTTCCTGAAAACAAATTAATCAAAGTATATGAATCAAAGTCTGAAAGAAAATACAGACCCACTAGACTTCTAGAAACTGGACCTAATACCATTATGTTCCATTTGGCTTCTTTTGTTGTTTAGTTTTTTGCTCCACTGAAGCCTGTTAGAATCACCATGGAATACAGTTCCAGCGGGAAGGCCACTGGCGAAGCTGATGTGCACTTCGAGACCCATGAGGACGCCGTTGCAGCTATGCTCAGGGATCGGTCCCACGTTCGTAAGTTGCTGCCTACGATTTTCATGGTCATTTTTGATGTGTGTCTTTGGTTACAAATGCTTTTTTCCGTTTTGGATTTTTCCTAGAATGTTTCCTTAGGAAAATTGTACTCTGTCATTACCAGTAAGTTAAGTGTAAGGATGAAGCATTACACTGTAATGAAAGCATTTACTTACCTCCTAATTATCCTGCATATTTCTATTCAGAGTTAGTTAGGACTTTAAATTTTGTTTTTTGATTTTAGTTAAGAAAACAAATGAGTGAAGGGTTTGAGTGTCTGTTTGAACTATGAGAAAAATGGCTACAATATTCTGCCTTTTCAGCTTTTTGAAATGAACCTTTTTTTGTTATTCTCAGAGCATAGGTATATTGAATTGTTCCTGAATTCATGTCCAAAGGGAAAGTAAGACTTCCAGGGACTCCAGATAATAAGGTAAATTTAAGAGGTCCAGTTGTGGAAACTGTTTCAATTGATAAATTAATCATTAACTCACTAATTTGTAATATGGTGGAAACCGTTCTCTTTAATAAAGATGAAACAGATCATGATAATTGAAGCATTAATATAAGGAATGAAATTCTCCTGGGAAACAGAATTCATTACGGTAGTGTAGTGGCTTTGAGTACTTTTCCCCCATATACAATATTGTTGTATCTTTCTCAACATTCATCATTTTGTGTGCCTAAGAATAATTTTTCACCTTTAATAGCTATAAACCATAATACACTGGAAATGTGTTTGCATTCGTTTTTCTTTCTATAAAATTTTAAACACATATCCTCAGTTTTAAGATATTTTTAAGATGTTTAAAATGGCAATTTTGAAACCAGGGTATATCAGTGATACATACACTTGATGTACTACTGTTCCTTTTCCTGAAATGGTGTTTATGAAAATGGTTGTACTGGGAAGTACATGATTTCATAGGGTTAACTTACCTGTGACAGATCTACTAAATATGTCTTGATGTCTTTTCTCTTTTATATATATGTCTTCATTGATTTCAGAGAGGAAGGGGTGAGAGGGAGGGAGAGAGAGAGAGAAACATCAGTGATGAGAGGGTCATTGATGGGCTGCCTCCTGCACGCCCTTGACTGGGGATCAAGCCCACAACCTGGGCATGTTCGCTGACGAATCTAACCTGCCACCTTTAGGTATATGGGAAAACTCTCCAACCAACTAAGGCACACTGGCCAGGGCAGATCTTTTAGTATATTTTATTGTAATCATTTTTCTCCATATAGTGGTGCCTTCCTTTGAGACACTTTACGGTAATGATGTCTTGAAAACACATGGGGCATTTCTTTATAATAGTTGTCATGGGCTGTTTTTGGATGTAGTATCTCACTATCTGTGATACTAAATATTTACATTAGCTAAATCTGTAAAAATATACTCTGATGCCTAATTTTCTTCACCTCAACTTAATTGGTTTGTCAGTAAGTTGCACAAAATTGGAAAGAAAAAAATTACTGAATTTGTTATTTTAAATGGGTGGGAACATGTTCAACAGTTTCATTTTTAGTAAATGTGCAATACTTTTTGTTTTCTTTTCAGGATGAAGCAAGAAGCATTTCATTTGCACATCTGTCTTGGATATGGGATATAAAGTTCCAGTGTTTTAGCAGCAACTGTTAGAGAAAGGATTTTGGGGTTTTGGGTTAGGTTAATTGCTTATAAGAAAAATTTCTTAGTGGACTGTTTAGAAGGAAAAGGGAAAGATTCAGTTTGGGATTAATGAACCTCAAATTTAAATTTTGTTTAACCTGTCCAGGATAGGATCTGATTTAAAAATCTGGTCTTTATTTTATGATTAAATAATTTGTTTTCATAGAGGATATGTTACCCAATGTAAAGACTGCATATTTTTATTCAGCACTGTTCTTTAAAATCTTTCTCCCATTTTAAAAATGATTTGTTTGAGAGCTCTGATATAAAACTTCTATGGAATAAAATACTGATTTCTTTTAACCAAATACTCACCAAAGCAAAGAAAGGTTTCAGACCTTTGAATCATGGTTTGGCAGAGTAGTTATAATTTTAGGGTTAGGAATTAAAAAAAAAAAAAGATTCAAAACAAAATAAATACCACAGGTTGTGATTATAATGGACAACTAATTGGCAGTTTCATAGCTTTCGAAATGTTTTGCCTTCCTAAGCCTGTGCTGCTGGCGTTTAACATTAGTGCCTGTATACTTTAACAGGGAATTCTAGTTTCAAAAGTTGTCTGAACACATCCCTGTCCCCCCCCCCCC